GAGCGATACAGAGAAAGAAAGAGAGAGAGAGAGAGAGAGAGAGGGGGAAACAGCGACAGTGACAAACAGACTGAGAGAGAGAGAGAGAAAAAGTGAGCGATACAGAGAAAGAAAGAGAGAGAGAGAGAGATGTCGCTCTGCCCATCATCGCACTCTCTACACTTCTCCACTACTATACATGTCGCATAAGTGGCCGCTGCGTGCTACCTCTAGCATGAGAGGGAAGTTTTTCTTGTCGACTGCTCTTCCTCCTCTGTTGATTTCCCCCGGAAACTCCCAATCCAGCTCTATACCATCGAAGTTGTATCGTCGGAGGTAGGGCACTGTTTGATTAATAAACTGCGACCTGTCGCAAGTACGTGGTATGTGAAATGTCAGACATGTTTTATCACGAAAGATAACGTTAAAACGATATATAATAATTAATTATATACCCGAAATTGGCCACAAAGTATAGGCGCCTTCCAACGAGACACGAAATATAACGTTAAAACGATATATAATGATTAATTATATACATGAATTTGGCCACAAAGTATAGGCACCCTCCCACGAGTTAGCAGCATAATAGGTATAGTATAGCGTCTTGCATATCGCACATCGCGGATGTTCGTAAGTAGTGGATATTCGTAAGTAGTGGATATTCGCAAATAGTGGATGTTCGTAAGTAGTGGATGTTTGTAAGTAGTGGATATTCGCAAGTAGTGGATGTTCGTAAGTAGTGGATGTTTGTAAATCGTGGATGTTCGTAAGTAGTGGATGTCCATAAATCGTAGATATTCGTAAGAAGTGGATGTTCGTAAGTAGTGGATGTTTGTAAATCGTGGATGTTCGTAAATAGTAAAGGTTCGTAAGTAGTGGATGTTCGTAAGTAGTGGATGTTCATAAATCGTGGATGTTCGTAAGTAGTGGATGTCCATAAATCGTAGATATTCGTAAGAAGTGGATGTTCGTAAGTAGTGGGTATTCATGAGTAGTGGATATATAAGTAGTGGATGTTCGTAAGTAGTGGATATTCGTAAGTAGTGGATAAATCGTAAGTAGTGGATAATTCGTAAGAAGTGGATGTTCGTAAGACGTGGATGTTCATAAGTAGTGTATGTTCGTAAGACGTGGATGTGCGCCAGCCGTAGAGTCTTACCTTTTGTATACGTTTCCAGCCATCTTGCTCAGTAATACGGGACCGTGTTTATACCCACCGACTGCCAGGAGGAGCTTCGGTCGGTTCATTGTTCTGTTCAACGTGTGAAACGTTCTCTTATATAGGTCTGTAAATATACGCATTACGATATATATATAAATAAATATATATATATATATATTCTATATCTTCTGTATATATAACGCATAAATTAAACCCTAATCTAATATAT